TAAGTGTTTCTTTGAAGACTTAAGTGTTCCTTTGTTTATTGTTTCTGAAATTGTAGTTTTTAATCTGTTATTTATCATTTACCTGTGCTTGATTTCTTTTCTAGCTTTACGATATCTGATTCTTTTTCTTATAGCTCATTTTTTTATCTTTCTTAATGAGATTGAATAACAAAACTACTTTTCACAGTAAAACCAATGTAATTTGTTGATAAGAATTAAAGTTATCTGATTCAAATATGTTTTAGACCTCTGGAAGAAAATTAGTGATGGGGGATAGAGTATTGATAAGCATGAGTTTCATTTTTTTCTATCATCTCTAAAAAATATTAAACTTGGTCATCAGAAAAGAGGCTGACATTTGTGTCATTTGGCCCCTTTTATCCATGTTTATATATTAGTATGAAGAAATAAATTTTTACTTAACAACATGGTGGTAATATTAGCAGAAGCATGACTAATGCACATGGAACAATTTTACTTTTTATACTAAAGAAATGTTAAGTGCTTGATATTTTAAAGGTAAAAAGTAAAGTTCTACTAATTGTTTTTATGATCTTTGTATAGTTAATAGTTTTAAAGACATATTGTAGAACCCCCAAATAGATCATTTTAATATAAAAGTTGTTGAAAATGTATGAAAATCAGGCAAAACAGTATACAGATTTATATAATGTGATCACAAAATGATTAGAAATGTGCTGCTTTTGAAGCATGTTTAAATACGTTGATGACATAATCTTTGTTAAATGTTTGGAAACATAAATTATAAAGCCAGGATCATATTTTTAAATGGGTTTACTTCTTGCCAACTCCTGTTTTATCAGTGCCTATACTACTAAACACACCAGAGTTAATGTTCTCAAATGTAAAGGATTTTAATAACGAACCAAAATTTTAGATGTCAATAGAAGACAGTTATTTTTAGTCAAAATATATGTACATATATTACTGGCAAAGAAATGGATAGCGATTAACAGTACTTAGTATTTTTAATATCAATATCATATAAATGATTTCCATTTTAAATGATTTAATCCCATATATTGAAAAAGCTATAATTCACAACTGATATACCTAAATGTATTGATTTATTTCACTTTATTCTGTTACCAACAAGTTTATATTTCTAGAAATCTAATTAGGGGAATTTACCTTATTACTTACAAAGTTTTAAGCATTGTTGATGATAGAATAGTTGGGCATGGTGGCAACATGCCTGTAATCCCAGCTACTCAGGAGGCTGAGGGAGGAGAATTGCATGAACGCAGGGGACGGAGGTTGCAGTGAGCCGAGATTGCACCATTGCACTCCAGCCTGGGCAACAAAAGCAAAACTTTATCTCAAAAAAGAAAAAATAAAGAAATAAAGAAATATTGGCTTTGCATCTTCCTTTTTATTCTCATATCAAAGAACCCCTCTTACTCTGTACAACAGTGGTAACAATCAACAGAATGAGGAAATAACCTAGGGAATGGGGAGAAATATTTGCAAACCATATATGTAATAAAAGCGTTCATATTCAATATATTAAGGAACTCAAACAACACAGTAGCATGAAAACAACCCAATTAAAAAGGGATAAGGATCAAAATAGACATTTCTCAAAAGAAACCATACGGATGGCCAACAGGTATATGAAAAAGTGATCAGCATTATTTATCATCAGCAAAATGTACATTAAAAACACAATGAGATATCATCTCACACCTGTTATAATGACTGTTATCAAAAAGACAGAAGATAAGTGTTAGAGATGATATGAGAAAAAGGAACCCTTTTATACTGTTGGTGGGAACATAAATTAGTACAGCCATTGCAGAAAACTATAGAGAGATTCCTTAAAAATAAAAAACAGAACCACCATATCCAACAACCCCAATTCTGAGCATTCAGTCATTTTACATTTATAAATGGAAATATATTCTGAGAAATACATTATTGGGCAATTTCATCATTGTACAAACATCATAGAGTATAATTACACAAGTCTACATAATACAGTTTACCTACCTAGGTTCTATAGTACAGTCTCTTGGGCTGAAGCTACAAACTTATACAGCGTGTTCCTGGACTGAATACTCTAGGTGATTGTAATACAAGTATTTGTGTTTCTAAACATAAAAAGCGTTCAGTAAAAAATACAGTCTAAAAGATAAAAGGTGGTACACCTGTATAAGGCACTTACCAAGAATGGAGCTTACAGGACTGGAAGTTGCTTTGGGTGAGTCAGTGAGGGAGAAGTGAGTGAATGTGAAGGCCTAACATACTACTGTATGCTACTGTAGACTTTATACACTGTACACTTAGGCTGCACTAAATTTATTAAAAATATTTTACTTTCTTCAATAAGAAATTAACCTTAGCTTCTGAAACATGTTTAATTTATAAACTTTTATATTTTTTAAAACTTTAAATCTTATGACAACAGCTTAAAACACACTTTATACAATTGTACTAAAATATTATTTCTTTATATTCTTATTCTATATGCTTTTTTAAATTTTTTTACTTTAAAAATTTTTTGTTAAAACCTAAGACACAAACACACACATTAGTCTAGGCTTATGTAGGGTCATGATCATCAATATCACTGTCTTCCTTCGCCACATCCTGTCCCACTGGAAGGTCTTCAGGGACAGTAACAACACATACAGCTGTCATCTCTTGTGATAATAGTACCTTCTTCAGGAATACCTCCTGAAGGACCTGCCTGAGTCTATCTTATAGTTAGCTTCTTTTTTTTTAATAAGTAAAAGGAGTACTCTCTAACAATAAAAAGTATAGTATAATAAATACATAAGCCAGTAAAATAGTCATGTATAATTATTATGTATCATACATAATTGTTCTGTGCTATACTTTTTAGGACCATTTGTTTACCAGCATTGCCATAAACATGAGTAATTAGTTACAACATCATTAGATGATGGGAATTTTTCAACTCTATTATAATCTTATGGGATGATTGTTGTATACATAGGCCATAATTGACCAAAACATCCCTTTGCAGCACATGACTGTATATCTAAAGGAAATAAGATCAGTATGTTGAAGAGATATTTACACTCCTGTGTTTACTGTACCATTATTTACAATAATCAACATATGGAATCATCCTAAGTGTTCATAAGATGAATGGATAAAGAAAATGTGGTATACACACAAACAATGGACTTTTAGCCTTCAGACAGAAATCTTATCGTTTGTGACGACATGGATAAAACTGAAGGACATTATGGTAAATGAAATAAGCCTAACGCAGAAAGACAAATATTGCATGATCCCCTATTATTATATGAACTAATAATGGTTTGGGGTAGAATTATTATGTGATATAGCTGGCTCAGTCCGGCATAACAATTATTAGTGGATTAGAATGCATTGGCTATATTTTTGATCCACTCTTATATAACCCATGGTGACATTCTCAGATGGTTGGCTGGAATTCATTTCATAAACTGAAAGCTTGCAGATTTTACCCCTTTTGCAAGATGAATTGATCCAGATTAGAATTGAATCTACTGTATTCAGATAGCAGCACTATGTTCTGAAAAATTGAGCTAGCCTAGACAAATGTGTGTTAAAATATGAAATAGTCATGAAATTGCCCTTACAGAATATTTTTAAACATGTTTCCTACTCATGAAAAAAATGTGTCTATGTAATCTACAGTATTTTCACTGAAAATGGAGAAATAACTGTATGAGAAATAGCCAGACAACCAAATCCTTCATTATCTGAAGCTGTATTTGTTTTTTACAGAACAGCATTCTTTTTGTTTGTTTTGGTTTTGCAAGATAGACACTTTTGGGTTTATGGTGGCTGTTCAATTACATGTTCATAGAGATGTACATATATTTTTCCTGAACCACCTACCATTGATTTTACACACTAAGCAATCTGCTGTATTTCTTAACATTTTATATTCTATACTGCTGCATTCATGCTTCAAATTATATTTCATTCTTTCTTTAGGGTTTCTTCTGCCTATATAATTGCTTACTTAGAATCACAGTAAAGTAAATACTTGTATAATTTTAAGGTCACCCACAGCTTTTACCACATTAGGCACTTCAGTGTCTATGGAATTGCTATGCTCCAGAACCTCATTATCATGACATTAATGTTCAGTCATAGCATACGGATTGTCCATTATGCAGGATCTTAACTTAAGTTAATGTAAAGCAGATTTTCCTCATGCTTACTAAATTTTCTTTGAGATATTTCATAGCACTTGTAAAATATTTTAAAACAATAGCATTAATGCGGGGTCCAAAGTGGCTCCGGCCGGAGGTTGTGGCACTTGCGAAGGCGAGGTCATGAGTTCAAGGCTAACCTGAGCAACCTTATAAGCTCAAACTGATTGGCAAAAAAAAACAAAAAAAAAACAATAGCATTAATGCTAGTGTTCCTATGGGAAGTAAATTTGGTTTTCTTCTTAAATTCGTCCATTTATTGTCTTCTTTTAACAAAGGAAGTGAAGATTATATTCACTTTTCTCCATGTGTCTTAGAAGATCAAGTTTTAAAATTACTATTATTTTAGAAGTTTGTTCTAAGAAAATTAACTTTGATGGAAGATGAGCTCAGGTGATCAGGACATTGATTCAGGTGTACTTGGCATAGCAGTTCATTAACTATGTGTTAATGATGTATGATTACTCCTGAAAAACTATAGCGGCTTCTTCTTTTAGGTTGCTTCATTAAATCATTAATTTTCTTGGAGGTAACGAAGCCTGACATAATTAAGTCATCTTACTCTCCACAGATATTTATCTTCCCATGATGTCAAGAACACTGAGCAAGTTATTATAGAGCATTGTAACTTATTCCCTGTATGTATTGACTTCATATTTTAGGATTATATAATACTATTTTGACTCATTCTTAAGTAATCTAACAAATGTATACCTTTTAATTATTTAGTTAATGTTCTAGCATAGATTTTATACTTCCTGTGTAATAACCCATTTGTGTATTTGAACCACTTCCTACCAACAGTTCTTTGACCCATGGCTACATAAAGCTGCTTCAGTTTATCCAGAACATCATTTATGAGGAAGGATTTGATGGATCCAATCCCCAGGTATTAAATAGCTTCAAAGTCTTTTATAATCATTCCTGTTATGTTGTTTTCACATTCTCTCGGGTGCGGGGGTAGGGGAGCAACCTAGAAGGTTTTAGAATAATAAACAGTGAACAAGCTGTTTTCAAGCATAGAACATGTAAATAAGCAGAGCACAAACATCCTTAGTTTGACTTTTATTGTGTATTTAGTGTTTCAGCTAAGTCCTCAGTGGAGGCACATAAGAAATGCATATGCATTATCAACATCATTTTTAAATATGCATTTGTAGCATTTGGGCTTAAGTAGCCACATTTTGAGAATTAGTTTTAAATCTGCAAGGCTTGTTCTTTTCTATTTAAACTGTTCATGTTTCTGTCATTCGGGCCTTAATTTCAAATTACCTTATGACTAAGAATTATCTTAAGATTTTATTGTATTATGCTTTTTTTATTGAATAAAAAATACATTTTTATTTGCCATATTAAATATTTTATAACAACAGTTTTTCTGTAGCTCTAATTTTAAAAACTTCCTCCAAATTTTCACTACTAAAGACATTCTGGTTAGTTTAACTTAAATAAAATGATTTTATTTCTACATATCATGCCTTTCAAAATTCTTCCTCAGTGATTTTAATTGCTTTTGCTACTAAATGATTTGCATTACATTTGTATTATTTTAGCAGAAGTATTTCTGAAGCACCATTATTTTTATTGAAGAAGACAAAGAAGCTAAAAGTCTTATTTTTGGTATTATCAGCTACATTTATGCTTAATTCATGGATTTTTAAATATTCTTGTAAAATTTATTATTATATTTTAAGTTTTTCCATGGCAAAATAAATTATTTTTAAATTTGTTTTGGTTGCCAGTTTAATAGCAGGTTGAAAATACCTATGTGTGTGTGGTAAAGTACAGACATTTATTTATAGGTGGCTTTTCATGTATGTCATAATTTTTTAATGGCTTTTGGTATTTAATATAATTTTATTTTGCTCAGTGTTGCTCCATTTTTGGCTCTACCTAAGATTTATGGGTACTGTGCCTTTCCTTTGGTGCCAGTGCTTGTCTGGAGAGGTAAATTGGTCCCTGACAGACACCTCTCCCCACTTGCTGTGGTAACTATGGAAACAGGCATGTCATAACAGTTTCTATGATACAGTGTGCAGAGCTGCTGCTCCTGCAGGATGATGACACATTTTCTAAGAGCAAGAAATTTTATAGAATCCCAGAAGCAAAGGCAATAGCAACATACACACACACACACACACACACACACACATCTATCTTAAGAATCCTTAATAAGTAAGCTAGTATAGGAATAGAATGAAACATTTGTTTTCTTAGTTGTTTATTCGACTATGAAAACACCACTATTTTCAAGAAACAGTTTTTTTTTCACAAAAATTTATAGACAACAAATGAGCTGATTTGGCTTTCTGAACCAGAGATTTTGTAATTACTGACTTTTATAAAGATTAAAGAGGTTTCAGGTAGACATTTCCATAGTGAATACCAAAACTGTTTTTAAATTAAAATATACCAAGAAGTTATTATAAAAATATGTTATGAAACTAAAATATAATAAATTCCATATCTTTATAGATTGTACTGTTTGATAAATTACTTAGTCTATGTCTGTGTCAGAAATTTTAGATGGGTTAGAAAAGCCACAGAAAGGCACCTACAAGGTACTACTTCAAAAAATATTACTCCTAAGTCAAAAATAATGTTCTGACATTCAAATAAATCTTACATTTTAAAAGAAAATTTTTATTTTTTTTTAACACTGTGTTTTCAAATAAACAACTAATTTGAGACAACATATAGAAGAGACTCTAAGGAACAGAATATCGTTTACTACCTTATAATTAGTTTCGGTAGTAAGTAAAGTCATATAGCTCATCTGTAGAGATAATTAGAGTACAGACATTTACAAATTGTGGTCATAATTTCATTTAAGTTGTTACTTTTAAATATCTTAGAAATACATGATAAAAATGAAATTTTAACATGGATTTTACTTAGAATACCAGATTAAATATTTTGGATGTTCTCATAGGAATAAAAGTATTTATTGTACAGCTTTTATTTTTTTAATCTTATGCCACACAGTATGCCCCATTATTATATGGCATAGCAAAGGAATTATATGTCCTAAAGGACACAAGAGATTTCTAATTCAATCTTTGCTTTTGCAATTACCATTTTTTTAAATATAAATGAAGTATTATGCTCAATTATATTCTGTTGTGTGGGTACCCACCTTACTTAAATACTTTATCCCTCATTCATTTTTTGGCTTAATTATTTTCATTCCCTTGATATACATATATCAGTGTGTCTGTCAGAATCATAAACCTCTGTAGTGCTCCTGATTTCATGCCTAACAGCATTTTTGTTATAAACTCTTATCAGGTACTTTTTAATACAATAATAGATCATGGGACAGTGGATTAAAATACCGTTGATCTTAAGTTTCTGAAATGCTGACAGGGAACAACATTATGCTGCTCTTCTGTTACCTTCATGTTTCATTCTAATATCTAGATTTTTTTTTTTTGTACATTTCTCTCTCCCTTTTTCTAGAGTGCTCTTCCTGTTGGAAATCTAACTTGTTTGTTATCATGAGATAACACATTTAGAGATAGCAAAATGACCTTTAAATTCTTGCCATTTTACTTAAATTCTAAGATTTTAAATAATAAAGAAAAAAGAATAACTCATCATATTTCACAGATATACTAATTCACCAGAAATGTATTTATACTTCTAACCTAAGCCCTCGTACATCTTATTACTTCATTTCATTCAAGTAAGGCAGAAATAAAAAGAAAACAATTTTTGTGGACCATTGAGGATGATAACATAGGATGTCTTAGGTGGTTGTCTATCATAACTATAACACAATCATTTTAAAAATTGGACTGGCTGCCTACATAGTGCAATCATGTTTTAGTTCCCTAAGAGTTAGGAGGTTTCTTTCTAATGTGCTTATTCTAAATTCCTTTTTTCTATAATTTTATTCTTGTAGTCTTATCGAGGCCATTATATGCCTTCAACTATATTGAATCATAGAACGACAATGTTATCTTCTCTCCTTTTATTTATTTATCTATTATTATTTTTTTTAATTTTATTTCTGGAAATGGAGTCTCACTGTGTCACCCAGGCTGGAGTGCAGTGACACAACCTCCGCCTCCCAGGTTCAAGGAATTTTCCTGCCTTAATCTTCCAAGTAGCTGAGACTACAGGTGCCCACCACCTCACCTGGCTGATTTTTGTACTTTTAGTAGAGGCAGGGTTTTACTATGTTGGCCAGGCTGGTCTCAATCTCTTGATCTTAGGTGATGTGCCTGCTCCAGCCTCCTGAAGTGCTGGGATTACAAGTGTAAGCTCAGCCTCTCTTTTTTTTTTTTTTTTTTTGAGACGGAGTTTCGCTCTTGTTACCCAAGCTGGAGTGCAATGGTGCGATCTCAGCTCACCGCAACCTCTGCCTCCTGGGTTCAGGCAATTCTCCTCCCTCAGCCTCCCGAGTAGCTGGGATTACAGGCATGCACCACCATGCCCAGCTAATTTTTTGTATTTTTAGTAGAGACGGGGTTTCACCATGTTGACCAGGATGGTCTCGATCTCTTGACCTCGTGATCCACCCGCCTCGGCCTCCCAAAGTGCTGGGATTACAGGTGTGAGCCACCGCGCCCGGCCTCAGCCTCTCTTTTTAATTTTAAAATGAAAAACCTGTCTGAACACAGTGGCTCACAACTGTAATCCAAATACTTTGGGAGACTGAGGCAGAAGGACTGCTTTAGTCCAGGAGTTTAAGGCCAGCCTAGGCAACTTAGCAAGACCCTGGCTCTACAAAAAAAAAAAAAAAAAAGAAAGAAAAATTAGCTTGGTGTGGTGGCACATGCCTGTAGTCCCAGATACTCTGGAGGAGGTGGGAAGATCACTTGAGCCCAGGAGTTTAAGACTACCATGAGCTATAGTAATGTCACTGCACTGCATCGGGGTGAAAGAGCAAGACCCTGTCTCAAAAAAAAAAAAAAAAAAGAAGAAGAAGAAGAAAGAAAAGACAGAAAAAACTAAGGCCTAAGTAATGTGTGTGTCTTGTCAGAATCATACATCTGCTTTTGTTACATAGTCCTGACTATAATTCTCTCTTTTTCATTTACTAGTTTCTGTTCCTTTAGGCTTTCATCTTCTAACATTTTCATGTTTTACACATTTTTCTTCCTTTCCATGGTCAGTAAATTCTGCTTGGAAAGGAATACGCAAATTCAATTTTCATTTGTAATATCAGGGAAATAATATATTGTGTTGGACAGTAACTTGTTGGCTAATAAATTTTATTAGTGGTATTTTATAGCAATAGCAAGTGATACATTTTAGGATCTTGTTTCATCAGAAATCACATATGAAGTAACAGTGGTCCAAATTATGGCTGTAAGACCCATTTTACTTTTTCTATCAATTCTAATAATGATTTTTCAATTATTTGCACATGCCAGGTTGTGTTAACACCTCCTTCTTTTGCCCTGAAATTTTACTGAATGTCTAAGGAAAGCATTTACATTTTCTAATTTACAGTAATTCAAACAGTAGAATTTATTATAAACACGTCTGTTGTTAAACATTTATTCACAGAGATTTATTCACAGTTTTATTAATAATGGTTTTTAAATGTTCTTTTCCCAAGAAATATAGTCACTTATTGTTACCTTAATTTCAGTAGGTTCAAGTACTAACTGTTCACCTGTTAAATTTTATGAAAGATGTTGAACCTAAATTATTATGTTAACAACAGCTTCAAGAAGAAAAACCAGAGGCAAATGTAAAATATAAAACCAGAAAGTCATATTTAAGCTTTTTTCAAAGAAAAGATCAGGCAGTATGTAAGATAAAATCAAATGAGAAATACTGAACACTTTATAGTTTACTGAAAGACAAAATTTTCTAATACTGAGAATGGGCTTGCAAGTATTCTAGTTTAGAGTTTATTGTTATTATCTGTGATTTGATATATATTTTAAGTTGCTAAGAATAACAATCCTTAGAGTTGTTATTGTTAAAGTTTAGATACGATTTAAAGCTTAAGGCTTTTGATGCTCTTTAGATTTTTTAAAAGTAAAACAAAAAATTGTTATTTTTTAATCTTGTAATCTATATGGTTTCATTTATATTGCTTTATTTACTAATAGTACATAAAAATTTTTAACACATCTATTGACATTATCTCCCTGATGTTATAAAGATAAGAACTGACAGATTAAAAAAAGGTATTCTATTGATTAGCAAAACTTTATGTTTGCTTTTATCCCACTTTCTTTTAGAAAAAACAGAAAAACATTTTAAGAATAGGAATTCAGAATCTTGGCTCACCTTTATGGGGAGATGATATTTGCTGTACAGAAAATGGAGACAGCGGTCACAACCTTACCAAGTTCCTCTATGTTCTCCGTGGACTTCTGAGAACCTCTCTTTCAGCCTGCATCATCACAATGCCAACACATCTGATCCAAGTAAGAACTTTCCAGAACTACTTTTTCATAACTCATGGTTATATAGTATGATATTGTGCTTTGAATTTGTATTTCCATGATATCTAATGATGTTGACCATCTTTTCATGTGCTTTCTGGCAATTTGCTTGTCTTTGGTCTGTCTTGTCCATTTTCTATTGATAGTCTCTATCAATTTGTAAAATTCTTTGATATTTTAACTAGGTAATAATTTTCCTCCAGCCTATGACTTGCTTTTTCCATTAGCAGTGTCTTTTGAAGAGCTAAAGTTTTCAATATTGATGAAGTTCAACTTATACCTTTTTTTTAATGGTTTAGTGGTTTACCTCCCTCACACCTCCAATCTTGACAGTCTTTGCCCTCTTTAAGGTCTTTTTCTTCTGTTTCCCTCTAAACATTTTATAGTTTTTCTCTTTTACTAATGAATCAATGTATTTTCATTTGAATTTTTTCCGTAGTTTTAGTTCTTGTTCTGAATCACCTTCTGGTTTCTTTAATTACTATTCTTATATAAAGTGTATGTTAATATTAGTATTGTTTACTTAAGTACATATTGTCTGCCTCAAACATGTGATTTTATATATAATCTTATGTATCTACTACATTGTAGTCTCCACAGAGGGAGGGCCAAATACTTATACTTCATAGGCTTTATGGTAATAATATAATATTAAATGTGTTTTTAAAATTCTTCTTTTTTCTTCCCATCTTCGTGGATTAAAATTCTTAACACAGTACCTAGACTTTTTCTGGATATTCGATACATGTTAATTAAATTAATATTGAGTCTTTATTATAAAGTCATGTAATTTTAGTATCTCTGTCTAACACACCCAGATCCTACCTGCAAGTAGCAAATTTATTAAAATGCCATTTAGTTACATAGCACATATGACTGAAAAGTGTGGCAGATGAAAAGTGAATTTGGCTAGATGCAGTGCCTCACACCTGTAATCCCAGCACTTTGGAAGCCCGAGGCAGAAGGATGACTTGAGGCCAGAAGTTCAGCCTGGGTAACATAGCAAGACCCCATCTCTACACAATATAAAATTAAATTTTAAAAGAAGTGAATTTGATCTCCTTGGTCAGTAGAATTTATTTATTTATATAGTCAGAAGAGGATAACTCAGTTTCCTTGAAGGCTTTTTTATACATTATGTCTGAACCTTAATTATTATTATTATTATTATTATTAGCTTACAATTGTAGAAATATCATAAGGAAACTCCTTTGTCTCATTATGCTAGACATTTCACACATACTTGTATTGCTTTCATTGTTAAGTTATTATAAAGTTAGTACTCGAATAATAGTTTGGTTAGACATGGTGAGCTTTTTTATTTTTATGATAAATAAACATGAAACAGTCATCAGATACTGGTGGAAATACTACTACTATTGTGCTATTACTACAACTCTTGATTAGGCATGTACTACATGCATTTACAAGCATTATGTTGTTGAATCATCACTGCTACCCTGTGAAACAGGTAGTTTTTACCTCTGTTTCCATAGGATCACCCTGTTAATAAGTAGCAGACCAGAGTCCTTCCCTGACTTCAAACCTTGATAGCTGTGATGTCAATTGTAAAGACAGCTAAACTGAAGTTAAATGATTCTCCAATATCTCATATCTATTATACATTTTAACCTGGTTCAAGCTCAGATCTGTTTAACTCTAAATTTAAACTATTTCCCCCGTCACACTATATCCTGTGTCCTGAATTATTAACTACCTTTGATGACACTAAGTTTCTATTAGGAAAAAAAAGTTAGTTCTCGGCCAACATTGTAATTATTCCACATTTTTAAAGAGAAAATTATTATTGTAAAATATTTGATAAATTAACATATACAAAAGATTAAACGAAAAGTTCTATTCTAGACAAGAGAGAAAAAAGATGAAAATGTGCTTCCTCTTGCATCATTGCAAAGAAAAACAATCATGAAAAAAAAATATATATATATGTAACTTTAAAATTTATTCTAAAGGGGCCTCTACAAGAAAAAGAAAACACTTTTTTAAAGCCATATTATTGGTAAGCATCTTTATTACATAAAGAAGAAACTCCTTTTGTAGATTTCTGTGACAGTAAATTCTGTAGCCTCTGTTTAAGGGAACAGCAGATACTATCAGATGACCTCAACTCAACCTATCTAGACGACTGATTAAATAATGAATGAATAATGTAGTGATCTGGATGTCTGAACCTGAAACAATATTTTAACTTTAATACTTTACAGATATATTTAAGCCACTGTATAACTGGAAGAGAGAGAGAGAGATCAAATTTATGCTTCTTAACATAGCAGTAAAGAGACTCCTTTGAAATAGACATAGCAAAATAGAGGGTCAGATTTTGGTAATGAGTATAAAGTTATATAGTTTGACCAAGAAAGAAGACATCTTCCTCAAAACAGAGACTGTCTTTTTTTAAAAACTGCACAACCTTCTAACATTTTTCAATCTCTCATCCCTAGACAGTTTTGCAAAACTATCATATAGTAGTCTCCTGGCCCTAATATCATTTGAGTTATAAAAAACAAATAAATTTTCCCTTGTCCTTTGAACATGATGTGTGATCATATATTTGGTTTGATCTGAAAATGTTTAGTAGAAAATATGGAGGCCAAGGCGGGCAGATCACCTGAGGTCGGGAGTTCAAGACCACCCTGACCAGAGAAACCTCATCTCTACTAAAAATACAAAGTTAGCTGGGCGTAGTGTTGCATGCCTGTAATCCCAGCTACTCAGGAGGCTGAGGCAGGAGAACTGCTTAAACATGGAAGACGGAGGTTGCAGTGAGCCAAGTTCACTCCATTGCACTCCAGCCTGGGCAACAAGGGCAAAACTCTGTCTCAAAAAAAAAAAGCTTACATTTGTTCAAATGCATTATTATATAAATAGGAGAGAAAACTTAATAACTTTTAAAGTCTGTCAAGAAAAATCAGTTTTTTGACTAAGGAAAGAGAGTAAGAATTGCAAGCAGTATGCTTAGAAAGATAATCAGAGACATACAAATACATATAACCAGTGGACTGTGAGTTTATGTAATAAAAGGTTACATGGTGATTACTGTGGGCCAGTTGAAGTCCTAAATGCTTTTCAAATATTAACTCATTTATTCTCATAATAACTTATATGGTTGGCACTGTCATTATCTTTTCCCAGGATCACACAGCTAATGAGTGGCAGAATTTAGACCTAAGTAGTCTACCTCCTATTACCATATTCTTAACCACTGTGCTATGCTAGATGTTCAATAGAGATACTAGAGCCAAAATTTAGAAACAGACTGTATACAAAGTAGCATTAAATGGTAAAAAGAGCCTGGGTTCTTAGATCCAACTAGTTGCATAGTCTTAGTCAAGGCTTAATTTTTTCAGCCTCAGCTTCATCTGTGAAAATGGAGCAAAAAGTAGCCAATTAAGAGGATTAATAATATCTACTTACACAGTGCTGGCACATAGTAGGCATTCAGTATATGTTAGCAGTTATCATTTCACTATCATTACTTAAACAGATTTCCAAAACTGAGAATTTGAACAGAGATCAGGCTAAAAAATATAAGGTATAAAAGTCTATCAAAGCAATAGAAATCTCCAGCTGCCTTGTTTTATGACAGACACTGACAAGATCTTCTCACAGGTTAGGCCTGAGACAGACCAGGAGGCATAGATAAAGCCAGTTGGCCATCCAAATATTGGTAGCCTCACCATGTTGTAACAAGATTCTTTCAGCATTATACATCAGCTTCCTGTCCACTATGACCAGTGTCACTTCTGGAGATTATAAATTAAGGTTTAAATGGTGATTGAATGACTATGGGTAATTTAGCTTATCCACCTATTTAACAAATAGAGCAGACCCTGTTCTAGGCACCCATAGGGGTACAGTAGCAAACAAGGCAAAAAAGGTTCCTATTCTCATGGAACTTTTACAACAATGTAAAAGATAGGATGGAACAGAAAAGTAGTGTATGTGAGTATATGGATACTTGAGCTTGGGAGTGGTAGTAGAGTGGTTTCAAGCAGAAGTAGCAATGGAAATCCTTGGAAATTTTGTCAGATATATAGTTGGGTATCTATAAATAATAAAATTATGGTACCTTCATTTGAGGGCATTATATAAATTAACATTAGATTAAAGGTACTTTGTATAAAATATTTTTATTTCTTGAATTGTTAAGCCAGCTAATCGGTATTCTTACTTTAGTTATTAGCATTCTGTCAGACTTGTATAGTAATGATTAGTTACCCTTTATTGTACTTTTGGCATGCTTCCCATGTTTAATTTCATTGTAGGGAAGGAACACATAGTTAAGGAAATTGCAAAGAGAGGGAAAAGTTAAAATAGGGAAAATAATGACATAGATTCAAAACTGATTTTAACATACTGTTATAATAAGGATTTTGCAAGTAGAAGGAACAAGAATTGTTTTTTAATTTGCATTTGAAATGTTTTGTGTTCAGTCTCACAACTTTGAACTTGAAATTTTTTATTTCCTGCAGATTAAAGATTATTTTCTTTAACACCACAGGGAAAAAAATGGAAAGCATACTTTGGAACAAGTATATAAAAATAAATTATAAATATCTGTTAAGAAAACACTAAAATTGTTCAACAAATGTATTATGAATGTCTCAAGTGCGTATGTATATAATCTTAAACAGTTTTCCCTGTTAAGTAATATTATTACTTACATTGTCTCTTGCTAGAATATAGTTTTAGTATCTGCCCAAAGACATTGAACTGAAAATGTGTGTGAAATGGCTAAGTTAAATACAGACTTTGTTACATGCTGAACTATGGAGTAAAGTGTCATTAGAAGGAGCAGAACTACGGACGGCTCCCCTATATTCCGGCATTACTCAGTTCCCAGATCCCTGCTGTGTAGTTGTTCCACTCGCCAAGAAGCCTGTTAAAGAGCCCCCAAGAGCATGTGTACAGCCCTCCATGTTAATAGTTAATTGGTGAGGATGGCAAGATGAGAGGACAGC